GTCTCCTGGTAACCATCTTTACATATGTATTGACCATTTTCTATTGACTTGCATTTTAAACTTTCTGGTCACCTGATTTACTTTTTATTAGTTGGTAGATTTCGCCTATATTAACGTGTTTGTTAATTGCATTTTCGTTTTAGTACCAGGCTTCTAGGAATTCCCTGACTGCATTTTTGGTGTTTGCTCTGTCTAAGATTTGACATTATCCCAATCATCAAATTGATGAGCATAATTGTCTATATGCATTGATACTAAAGAATACATATCGTGTCTTTTCACGGCTGATTTGTGTTCTTGGATTCTAATTCGAAGGGGACGCCCACTTTGGCCGACGTAATGCCTGTTGCAATCCATACAATTTATTTTGTAAATAATATTCATTTTACCTCCTTTTTCTGTTGGATCTTTCGATCTTCAGTAACTCTCACGACATTTTTTGATGAGATTGTTTCAGTCTCCAGGGAAATGTGACAATGCATGACATTTGTCCTGACATAATTTGTGACATCACAGATTGTCTATTCTAGGCTCTAAATACACGGGAATTGCATAGCTTTGGCTGATATATCAGCTACATTTCTCTTTATCTATTTCGTCCTTTTTCTCTCCTTCATTCAAATGGAGATTTTACAGATTAGTAATTATGCTCATTTGAGATTATTTGTTTATTATTACCGTTGGGTTCTGAATGAAACATACGGGTTCAACGACATATCCTCAATTCACTCTATTCTGTGAAATTTCTTCTTAGTCGGCTCCACGAATGTCCATAGGCCTTCAATTCCTATTGGTACAATCTCCTTCATGTAGCCCTCAGACGCATGGTGAACTTGTCACTCACTTAGGTCGCACTCAAAGGCCTACAGTGTGATTTCAGTCAGCTGTCTCCTCAGTGTATCTCTATTCCATCTCCATTTTCTTCTAAATAATCGTTGAGGTACAAGTTCTTGGGTGGTTCGTTGTCAGAGTACCTTGTTTCTCATTCCTTTTGAGAGGTCATGTGATCATCAGTACAGGTCCCCCGGAAACATGTATTGTTGAGTTGTTTAATTCACTTTTAGATTTTCCCGTTGATTGGTTGGACCCTAAAGTGCTCGGTCTTAGGTTGACATATCGGCTTCGTATGCAGATGCTTGGAAGATGACTGGGCATGTAATTAGAATTTAACTGGTGGATGGGGACGCTCTATTTATGACTCATCATCTGGATGTACAGCTGCATAAGATGTTGCTCTCGTAGCCCAAGTGGTCTAGTGGATAACGCTTTGGCTGGCATTTGAAACTATGGGTACTAAGTTGGAGCCTCGATGGGAACATCGTCATCACTCACTGCAGAAAGCAGGTACGTTCAGCTGTTGACGAGTCCCAAATAAGACGAAGTGCGCGTCTTGACTGGATACCACTGCAAGTCACCATCCACCAACTAACTTCTGGTGTTGGTGAAAGTCTGCATGGGCTTTTCATGACTTTCACACGGCAAGTTTCTGAAACACGCAGAAGCACTGTGACTAGGCATAAGTGTTGAAAATCCGGAACTTTTTCCATATGCTGAATGCAACAGACTTCAACAGTGATTTCAGATTAGTCAAGGTCACTCTTGCTTTTTTGATTCTGTCTTTGATATATTCATCCGTTTCACTTGTGGCTGAAATAATTTTGCCTAGGAAATAGTGTTTACGCAGTTCGACGTTTCACTATATACCACTGACTGATTCAATTATGGATAAGATTTTATTCTAATTAATCACATAGTGGTGATACACGGTACAGTAATATTTAACGATGACCACATTTTGAGCACGATGTATTGCCACTCATAATCATATCAAGGCACTACTCACACAACTTTTTTCCTTCATTCATATACATGTGTGGAACTGACTAGATATTAGAAGAAAAATCAATATGCAATAAAGTACATTCAGAAATAATAATATGAGTGTTGTGGATTAAATAAAATCAGATGGGCAATAAGACGAGTGTTTTTATAGTCATAATGAGCAACTTGTTAGAATGTTATGATGTACATGAATTGAAATGGAATTTTAAGATTACTTATTATCCTCCTCTGATTTTACTGATTGGTGGTAATAATATCTTCCATATTTCTGGTATTTGCACTGAGTCATTTCTGTTGCATGTGTTGGGTGAAGGTGGACTCGATGAACCAGTAATCAATCTCTCTCTATCTCCACCCACCTATATTACTTTTGAGAATTTTGACTCTGTTCCACCCACCCTTTGGTGTGGATGTGTGTTAATGCATGCAGTGCAATGTAGTGCTGAGTTATTTTTTCTAAATTTCCTATCTTCTCAGGGTCAACTATTCCTACCAACCATTCCGACAATCTAATTGCCCCCGAATTACTAGTTTGACCTATGTAGTTGACCCCACTCACAATCATCGCAGGGCATTTTGTAAATAATATTATTTCGTTTAATTGGGTTCACCGGGTGTTTTAGCCTACAGAGCTTGTCCTTGAGTGAGTTAGTAGGTTTGAATGCCACCTTAATTCCTGCTTTATGATAATCCTACGTAGGGAGGGATTCAGATGTCCCCTCCTTATATGGTAAACTGTAGATGCCTTATATTCTCTCTTATTTGTGTTATCATTGTTAGTTTCTCCATTATTTTTTTAAATTTTGGTTTTGGTCTTTACTGAGCTTCCTTATGAATTTTATAGGATAGTTATTCAAATATCTAATCAATTCCACACATGTATACAAATGAAGTAAAAAATTGTATGAGTAGTGCCTTGATATGATTATGAGCAATAGTCTGTGCTCGAAAAGTCATCAGTTAATATTACTGTACTGATTTATCAAAATAAAATCTTATCCATAATGGAGTTATACTCTATCACAGTGATCGAATTTTATACTTATATCAATACTACTGACTGATGTCAGTAGGTAAGCACAAATAAAGTGAAAACATAAATGAACATCAGACAGGTGGGATTGCCATATGTGTAAAACTTGGGCACTGTGGTAGTAAGTAATTCCATATTAGTTTGTTTATTAGATATATCACACACAGTGAGTGAAACAGTATTATTATTTACTGGATGACAAATTTTCAAACACAAATTATTACTGTTCATAACCATTTCATCAAATACAATCACACAACTTTGAAACTTGAGTTTTATGGTTTTCTTTGTTCTCTCCTATTTGTTGTCGTAGGGGTAGTAGGATTTTCCAGACATCTGGGTGGACAGGTGTTGAGTCACTCCTATTAAACGTGTTTGCACTTGATTTAATAAACCAAGCTTCTGTTGTCAATCTGTTTCTCCACCCTGTGACATTAGATTTCAAAACTGTCATCTTATCCCATCCCATGCTATTATATGGTTGGTTGTGTGTAATTGAATGTAGTGAGGACTATAGCTGACATATTCTCTAGATTTCGAGTGTAGTTACGAGAAATTATTGAAACCATAAATTTCCAGGAATTTTGATATATCGTTGACAGTTCAAGTCTTTTTCGATTAGAAAAACAAAAAATATAATAATAATAATGCAGAACCACAGTAAACACGCGTCATAAATATTGACCGTCGATCACACGCATTCAGTCCCACTATGACTATTTCATACGAATAAATCAATTTAATCGGATAATTAATGACTGAGCGGAATTTTTGTGGATTAAGTGTTGAACTTGATGAACACAGATAATGAAGTCTTTCACTGTTCTTTTACCAAGATTTATTTATTTAAGGGGATTGTATTTAATAGTGACAAAAATAAATGCCTGTTACTTCTCACCTGATACTATTTTGGCAGAGTAGATTAGAAACCAATCAGACGACATTAGTGGAAAGTGAGAAGCAATGGAAAACTGCTTTGACCCTGTTTTGAATTTCTCAAAAGTTCATGGGTTTATCAGTTTCCTCAATAGTCACTGATCTTTTTATGAATAGATTACAAAATAACATCTTTTCAAGTATACTCACGCCTAAAATATGACT